CTGCGGCAACGTTTCACCTTCTTTTATTGGCCGTTGGTGTAATTTGACCAACTATTGTTCTACTTCCGACAGAAACGTACTATTTGCATTGTTCTGTCCGCCTCCGTACAGAGAACCAGTTTCTACGGAGACACTGTATATCCTTGAACGCGTGAAATCGGAAATAAAACACTTAAAGCAACTTTTAGGAGACTGTACTTGGTCACAAAATACATTGACTCTCACTGAACATCTAAATCATAGCTAGAAAACTGCCATGCGCCCGACTGATATGTCAAATTTGAATTATCTATACTTTAAACAATCATTTAATTCACTGATTTGTAGATTTCTCTATGCAAAAGAAATCAAAATTCCACTTATAACTGGTTTTTCAAATAGGAATATTATTGTTGTTCTTCAGTTTTTTGATATGACAACGCTTTTGTTTGATTTTTAGACCAAAAAAATCACTTGACAAGTAAAAAAAGAAGTGCCTGTATAAATTAATCATGAAGAAGTTTCATTTTTTGCCATGTTTAGTGACAGAAAGCAGTAAAAACATCTTGCCTTGTCCAACTAACAATCCAGAAACACAAACAAATTTAGTCTATGCTGGTATAAAATGAAGGAAAGCAGCAGATTTTCACATTTTGAGAAGTCGGAGCCAGTAAATGTTTGGCATGTTACTTGATAAATAACTTAAATTGCCATCCCATGAAGCGGGTCAGAGCCAAACAGTTTTGTCTCTGTTCGTCTTAGTCTTGGAGTCCTTCCCCCTAAGTGATCAATTTTAGGACACTGCCAACTGTATTGGTAGAAGCATCCTGGGCAGAGAATACTACATCTGTGCGTCTGACTGCTACCTGCCAGGCCAAGACAACAAGGAGGAGAAAAAAAAGCCTTGGGCTGTGGAAGAATGCTTCTATTCACAGGAAGCGCACCACTGGCAGTGATCGGATGAGATCCCATCCATCACCAATTTATTTCAATCTGGAGTGATTTAGGTCCATTTGGGTCTCCTGCGGATTCGGTACACACCTGTCATTTGCATAATTAAGCTCCGGAGCAGTTGTGAAAGACAGCCATTTGGTGTATCAAATTCACACCTTATCAATCAGGGGAGCATCAAGATGTATGAAGACCTCCTGACTCTTGGCTTCCTGGCTTCATTTGAAATGCTAAATGCAGCTTTTTTTTTTTTTCTTTTTTTTTTTCTCCAGGCATAAAGCTTGGCTACCCGGGCTGCCTGGTGGCTTCCATACATGTTAGCTGTCGTGGTCAGACCCCGACTGCTCAGGCTTTTTTTTTTTTTTTTTTTTTGCCTTCAGGGGGCTCAATCATCAATCAGTCTCCAACTAACTTCTGTCCAACTCCCTGACAGTCGAGATGGATGATGCCAGCGTCTACAGGATGCTGTATCCTCTCATTAATTCTCTTGTTAGCATGCACAGATAGCAGTGAGATACTGCCTTTTTTTTTTTTTTTTTATCAGTTTTCCACCAGATAGAGGCCTCTCTCCCCTTTTTTTTTGGGCAAGGGTCAACAGTTAATCATTTCTCAGGCACTGGTTACTTAGTACCACAATGATGTGATGTGTCAAAATCGGACAACATACATTCCCGGGATTGAGCGAAACAAAGACGCCAGTGTCCCTCCACAAGAGCCCTCTCTCTGTCTAAACGACTCAGTGGCTCCATTGCAACCAGTAGCCAGCGCTAAACAGAACCAGCGGATGAATGGGCGCTATTTTCACAACACGCACTTCGTCGCAAAATGAAGCCCTCGCAGGCTGCGGGGACACTTCAACTGGCCTTTTTCAACACCCATTACACTGAGACCACTGAACGAACACAGCGGGCAGAGAAGAAGAGTGACATTTACTGCCACAGATTGCCACACAAAGAGTTAAAGACAGACAGACAGGGGACTGGTGGGGTGGAGAAGAAGGGGGTGGGCAGAAGTGAAAGACAAGGGGTCCCTCTTTACTGACGGTGATGAATGAGTGGATCACAACAAGTTTGGGGAGAAGGCCTTTGCATCCACACAGGGGGCTCCTCAAATGACATGACTGACAGCTCGACTTCGCTCACTCCACCTGCACCCACCCGCCACCACCCGGCTGAATATTTTACGCATGTTACAATCATAGCACATGCAGAAATAGACCAGTTAACCTTAAAAATTTAGAAGTGCTTGTCAGATGATAGAATCGCATCTAAAATCAGATTTCCGTTGTCGGGTTACGTCGGATGTGTCAGACAACTGTGATCACGTCAGGAGATTAAATCAACACAAAATGTGTTTAAAGGGTTAAATGTCCCAAATGATAATCTGATTTATTTGTCACGATTATCGATTCATTTTAAAGGACAAACAGTTTCTTTTGCACTTTAATATTTAAAAAAAAAACGGAGCACTTTTTTCACTGCACTAATGCACTTTGCACCAAAGAAAAAACAAAAATACAAATCTACCTCACCTGGATACACCTCCTAGAACCAAAATATAAATTAAATTGTACTCACTTGCTCAACATCTGTTTATCAATATATCATTCACAGATAAAGACATTACATGCTAATTGACGTCGGTGAGGCAGGTGCGCACAAAGAAGCCTCTAGTCTCCCCGCTCGGTTCATGCAGCAACTGTGAGACATTCTAATGTAAGATTTTCCGTAGTGGAAAGCAAATCGTTGTATCTATGAGAGGGATCTTCTATGTGTGGACTTTTCTATAAGAACAAGCGTCAAAATCGCAGCCGATCTCATATGTAAATATATGGCAATCATGATTCATATTAGATTCATTGTGCACCCTTAGTGGCGAGTCAGATATTTCGAAATCCTTTTTACACCACTAATGCGTAGGAGCCTGAATTTGTTGAGACAAAGTACCTGTTGGATCTGCTGAACAGAATCAGTTAAACGTGCAACAATTGTGTAAATTTCCAAATCCAACACATCATTTAGCTGTATGCTGTGTAGTGGTTGCAGAGGACAGTTTGAACATCTCTCTTTTTCCAATATCACTTTTCCTAAGTACGAAGACGTGTCGCACTATAATTGCATTAGAGGGGAGACTTTCAAAGTGTGCGCTTATCTTCATTTATAACATTTTTTTGTGTGTCTCCACAGCTTTGGAACATTCAGATCAGACTGATTGGACCATATGTCACACAAATTATTTTAGTTTAAGCACACTGAACCTTTACAGTAAAGGTGCAGCTTAAACTATGAGGTATCATTAGAGAAAACCCCCTGAGCTGAAACATGATGTAGATGTATTTTACAGCGCTAAGACAAGCTACTCCGAGGTCCACGAGGCAGGATCTCACTTTTTTTTTTTTACGGTCACACACACTTGGACTTATTGCTCTGCTGTTCAGCTGATAGAAATACTTTGAATAGCTTTTAGATTGTTCTGGGGGAAACTACTGAATGGACAATTTGATGTCAGTGGAGCTACTGGAAGAAGTGCTGATGGTGCACCGTGATTCTCATTTTATTTAGATTAACTACCCCTTAATACAAAAGCTTCTCATGCCTCAGTGGAGATAAAGCTCATAAAAGTGCAGTGTCAAGACTGGAATTTGATCCACATACACATTAAGGAGCCTGCTTCCTCGGGCTTTAAACAACCTGAGCGCGCGCTCATTGTGCCGCTGCCCATATCTACGTGGGTTTGTTTTAGTTGACACATAAACAGATTAATTAATAGAGACATGCAATAGTCGTCTGTTCCGAGGGCTTTGCACCGAGACACAATGAGAAAAGGTGGCTGAAATTACTCTGACAAGCCGGAGCTATTGGTTGTTACGCTGCATCGCTCTCCCTGTGGAAATAAATCGTGGGCTTTCTTTCAACCTGAGGGCACAACTGGATCTTACATCTATGCATATTAAAACAACAAAAACAATAAGACGGAGCTCCGTGGGGTTGAATCAGCGATAGCCTTCTAACATTAGAGACATGGCACAACTTGAGGCAGGCTGTGTTGCTCTAAATTACATGGCCTAATATATTTCATTAACACACCTCCCTCAGAGGGGTCCCTAATGGATGACAGCGTGGCATAAAAGCTTGTCTGCCAGGGACACTAATTTGTTCTTAGACGCATTCCGTTCACTTATTACTGGCTGCTGCTCCTTATAAGCTGCTTAGATTGAGGTTGCCCACTTTGCAAAAGAAGAAGAAGAAGAAAAAAAAAAAAAACAAGGCTTGGCTGACAAGCCGGGCCACTTAAGTTCTGTGACCTAAGTCACCCCCTTTTAATCCACAGTGATTTCTATCGTTCGAGTCAGGTGGCCACTGAAAATAATCCTCGGAGCATTAGGAGTGACAGAAAGCATATTATTGTTAATTGTAATGGCACGATCCGGAGCCGCAATAACGCAAAGAGCGAACTCTTCCTGTTATGCTCCTTCATAAATATCCCGAGGGCTAAACGCCACAGTGCGACGGCTATTTGTTTTCCCTCTCTGTCAGGGTCATTTGGCCGGGGCAGAGAGACACCGAAAGACTGGCTGGACTTCCTCGAGACCTGTGTATTCTGCTGGTGATTGTCTTGGCTCACAGCCAGTCAGAAAGAGAGGAGTGTTTGAGCCGAGGAGCTAAATTCAAGTTATTATTTAATCCCAGTGCCAACAGAATCATGCAGATAAATTAAGAGCCTCATAATCAATTAACAGCAAATCCAATTATTACACTGAAGATGTCTGGCCTTAATATTTTATTCAACTTTACTGCTGTCAAATCAGCCACTTTAATCCCATTTGCCAACCAACTATTCAGCCACTGGTGCCTAAATTGTCATTCACCTGCTTTGCATAATCAAATCACGAATGCTCCCCAGTGTATAGTCTGTTGGTTTTTTTTGTTTTTTTTTCTTGGCACACCTTTTGTTTTGTGGAATCTAGGAGGCAGCTGACTAATTTCTAGACAAGAATCAACTCTGGGAATGCGAAATGAGTAAATAAACTGACTCTTAAAAATAGATTTTTTTAAAGTGAAGGCACTCACGTTCACAAGCGTCTCCTTTCTGATGAAATCCAGCTTTGCATATACATTTCCCAATGGGCACCAGCCATTCCCCCTCAGCGCTGCAGTGCATCTTGGGCGAGTTGTCGGCCTCCTCCTCGGCGTCGCTCACGCACATGCCCTCGACCTCCACCAGCGAGGAGAACTCTGATCCCGTCACGGTGTCTGGGAACGTGGCCAGGTTCTCGATGATAGACCAACATTTCTTGTAATAAACTTTGACAGAGACCAGGGCAATACACGCCCCTACATCCTGGAAGGCCAGGTAGAAGCCTCGCCTGGACAGGGGGCCAATTATGCGCACTTCTGTATTCAGCTTCATCTTTCTCTCGCCCAGGTCGCCCTGGGTGAAGCTTTCATCTGCGGCGATCGTGTCAATTTTTACGTACTGGTTCTCCCTTAAGCTCCTGCCAACCTCCGAATCCGTTTCCTGGTAATACAAGTTGAATGTCTCCTTGCAAGTGCCAACCACACCGGGTAGGCTGTTACAATCCCTCAAGGTGAATTTCAGTTCCACAAAAATTCTCTGGGCATCGCCCTTCTCTATCCAGTTAGTCCGAAGCCAGTTATTCTGATTGGGCTCCATGACTTGGCAAACTTGGTATGTGCGGATGGGCGTATAGTTCTCATCCAAGCCACTGATCTCTTCCCACTGAAAGAAGATGGCAAACGTTTGTAAATGAATGCAGCTATAAGGGAACAAATATAAATATGAACACCGTCAAACAAAGATAGACATCTAATGATTAGCAATCAAACCTAAACTGGAGATGATTACTCTGTAATGAATATGACAACGGTATATGAAATGCTGTCATTTCAGTCACTGTTATGTACAATAAACTGCAGAGAAGGGAGGCAGATTAGCAGTTGCGGCTTTTATCACACAAACACATCTTTAAAGAATGATTGTGCTCAGTTTATCTGCTTGCGCTCACATTATTTATTTAAAAACTTTCTCACTGCCTGCTTTTAATCAGACCAGCAAGTTGGAAGAGGTTTGCTTAAGGCCCTTTGTGCTCTGAATGTCAAAAGCCGAGAGAGTTTAGATGCAGAAACAGTCTGTTTTGCATCCTTTATCTTTTTCTTCTTGGTCAGACTTTTGTGAGCAGAGGAATATAGCAACACAGATCCTTGTGGATGTGTCCTTTAAATATTATTATTCCTATCACAAATATGAGACATCACAGAGAGCAAGGGTGGGGGGGGGGGGTGGGGGGAGAGAGAAAATCTACAGATATGGAGTACATTTGTGCAGGCGATGCAGAGATTCTGCAGACTTACCCCATTGGGAGGATAGGAGATCCACTCCAGTTCTGTCTGCTGTGCCTTGGAGTCCAGCAGAATCACTAGTGACAGGAAACCAAGAGGCAGGTGGTTAAATCTCACCGGGGCACCGGGCCTCGGAATTACTGACAGGCCACACATCTATATCTATAGCGCATATACCTGTGACCTAATTTCTGCCAGCAGCAGTTAAAGCGAAAACATGCAATAAGGACGTACACACTGCAGCAGACAGGTCCTCATGTCTGCGGGGAACTTTTTAATAGACAGATTAAGACACTGGCACTGTGTATAAAGAAGAAATGAATAGTATATAAACATATTACAATGTGCCAGGCGTCATTACGCACGGGATTTACGCGCATTAAATGTATAATTTGCCGCTTCTTAAAACTCGTTTTTGGAGTGGAAGTTGTTGCGTTAAGGTCAAAGCTGCCGCTTCCATCGGCGACGCACAGACACCTGCTTACAAATGAAGGATATTTTCAGCTCGAAACGGCCACAAAACTACAGTGAGACCATCCGCAACATGCGGCTCGTTGGCAGTTGAAATCAGCGGACGAGAAATTGTCAAGGCAGCCTGTTTTATGTTCTGGACGCGTGCGAGAGCGCAAAGCGGCACCGCGTCGGCTTTCATAAAAATGAAGGAAGTTGTTGAAATTGTATTTAATATCAGCAGACAGTTCCATCATGGGAAGGAGGGGAAGCAGTCAGGACGCATCGCCGTAATTTTTTTTTAAAAAGAACGAAAGAAAGAAAAGGGAAGAGAAAGAAAGAAAATTACGTTAATGATAATGCTCCGGTTATATTTTACAGGAGACAGTATGATATGGAGGTTCACGAAATCCCGCATATAAACACCAAGGAATTACAATTCATATCAGCATCCGCACCGCGCTCCGTTATTATACTGTACGAGTTTTTGGAGGTGAAAATCAATATCTGCAAAGTGAATTTCTGTTTTTACGCATGCACCAATTTCCTTAATTTAACAAATGGCGTCAATTAAAGGTGCCAATTTCCAGCTGTTTGGAGTTATATGAACCCTCTGTTATTTTTAGGGGCTTTTAGTGCCTTGATTCTGACCAAGTTGCGCGGCTCCGCATCAATCTGCTGTATTTTCCTTCCAAGAAACAACACCAGACAGGACTGTCAGAGCCGAGGCCACTTTGGAGGAAAGCAGCCTTCCGAAACTGCGTCCTGATGGACGGCGCACTCGCTTGCTGGAACGATCGATCCCCCTCATATTACCTAGTTTGTCTTGATAGATTGTTAATCTATAGCGAGCGGGCTAATTGTGCCGATTGCGCACTGGCGCTGGAGTGAAGTAAAAACGGGAGCTTCTGCGTCTAATCCGCGTCCTACGGCGTTTAACCGCCGTGCGTAAAAACACCGAGAGGTCGCTGGCAAAAAAAAAGAAAAAAAAACAGCCCCGCGAACAGACAGACAGCGCTGTCATCCCCGCACGTCCGACTCCATCTGACATCCAATATTTTTTTTTTTTTTTTTTGAGTTGTTTCAAATCACGGAGAATGAAAGCGCGCAATAAAGTCAGCGGGCTGTCTGCTGGCTTTAGACGCATCGCTGTGAAATGTGGAGGATGTCTCCAATATGCGACAGGATTGAAGAAGAGTCCAAACTTTAAGAACTTACCTTCCTTCGCATTCTGTGCTTCCCCGCTGTCCACATAACAGCATAAATGAAGGCAAAACGTAATCCACAGACACGGAATAGACGTGGAGAGCATGGTGCAGCTGCGGATTTCAATCTAGACCGTAACTCGCTTTGCCACCGTCTCGCGTGCTTCCCATTGACGACACTAAACCGGCTCTATGTACAACAATCCGCTGGTCCCCACTCAAATAGCGTCTGCTGCCGCTGGGAGGAGACTGAGGCTCCGGTGCTGTCAGTCAAGGAGACGAGCGCAGGTGTCAGCCAATAGGAGCTCAGAGGAGAGAACGTCACGAAAGCGGAGAGCCAATAGGCGCCTAGGAGGAGTTTCTCTTTTGGCGAGGGGGAGCACGGCGCAGGAAATGTTACCACAACTTAGATCAGATATTTTTGGGTTGTCTTTTTTTTTCTTTCTTTTTTTTTTTTTTAGGAAAACGGCGAGGGATGCTCTAGAAGGCACACACGCATTCTCACACCACCACAGGCTGCTGAAAAAGCTCCCACATATGAAGCTCCGTGGAGTAAACAAAACTTTTAAAACTCCCCTTCATTTCCTTATTATGTCAATTTTTGCAACTTAATTAAATGCTCCTCTGTTAGTTCTGCAGCACAAAGGCAAACAGTGTGGGCCTAAATGAAGATAAGAAAGAAAAAAAAAATCAAGCTCTCAGCCAGAAGTTGCGAAACCACAATAAATTCATCTTTAATTAAAGACACTTGATGATTTAAAGTAGTTTATCATGAAAGAAAAACCACATGTGTTCCAGTGAAGTGCTGAAGATGTACAAGCCAGGCTGGTTAGCTTTTTATTGTTTAACCATGCAGTGGTGGAAGTGATGAATTACAAATGCTGCTGTTACTTTAAACATTTTTGGGGTAAACTTTTTTTTATTATTATTACAAGTCTGTAATATTCTTTTAAGGATTCACAAGGCACATCCTTAAGCGGAGTTAAATGCAACATGTACATTTACGTAGCTCCACAACTTGCCAGAAGATGCCTCCTGCTAATTTTTATAGTGTTTGGGTGTATTTGTAGAGCTTCTGGGCGATGTGTTTGAGCACATTGCGAGTAATCACTTGTAAAATGAGACATTAATCCATCAGACTGAACTGAAGTTATACCTCTGGCTCCCGAACAGTGTTGTGTGACTCATTAATGTCTTTTTAATACATGATTTTCATGTGTGCTTCCTGAAAAAGTCAGTATTTGGCACAGTTTTGTTTAATATTCATATATTTTGAATGTGTACATTTAAAATGCGTTGTGATTATGCTTCATCTGTCTACATCTATCATTTCATCTATTTGAATATTCATTGATAACAGAGCAATAGATTATGGATATATAGACCTGTATAGATACCTGATCATTCATCCATGATGTATATGACAGAGGCCCACACGTGCCGATATACATCATCTATCATGGATGGAAAGTGATGGATAGATTGATGATATCCATATATATCCATCATCTATATATCAACCTTTTCCATCCATGATAGCTGGACAGATAGATGTGTGAATACCCATCAATCATAGATAAAACCACAAACAGTCTCCACTTTTAGTAAATAGGTACAATTACACTAACTTAATTGCTTTCAAAGTGACTTTTCTCGCAATGTTTCCAACTACATCGTCCAGTTTTCTGTAGAATTGCACAAAATGTTAGTTTTACTGCTGTGGAAGTTTTGAATTTGATGCACTGGCATATCCTTCTCTTAAGCTACCACAAATCAGTAAAAGTGACTGAGGTAAATATCAGGTGGAGGAAAAAAATGCTTTACACACAGGTGAAGGCGTATTTCAGTTTCCTTTTGCTTTTATTTATTTTCAGTTGCGCAAAACTACAAGCTGTAAACTGTGGTTTATCAGAAACCATTTAACGAAAGTAAATAATGCAACTAAAAAGTGTAGAAGAGAGAAATTCGCTCCTAGAAATGTAATTGAAAAGAGAATTGTGAAGCCAGAAAAAAATGTATTAAATCTTTAACCTTTAGTATAATTACATCTTTTTTTTTTTCTTTTTTTTTTAATTAACACTTCCAGTTTGTTTACTAATTTATAGACATAATTTATTGATAGAAGCAGTAACAAAAGAGAATATACTTGATGAATGAATTGCATAGATCACGTCGGTGCATCTTAAATACTAAATTATCAAAGCAGATGAAATATTTTTTGGGATGAGATCCTGTGTTTTCTATTTTTCCACATGCCCCGTGTCACTTTTCCATAGCGTGGAGCAAAAACTCCTGACTCAACAGCACTGATAGAGTGACTTATGCTGTGCAACATGATTAAAACAACCCCTTTCCGTGAATACGTGTTGTATTACGTGTGTCTGCTTGTTTTATGTGCTGCTCTCATATCTGACATGTGTGAGCCGGCTGCTGAGTAGAATTGTCCTCCAGCCAATCAAACACAGAAGGCACCGAATAAAGAAACAAGACTGTGTGCTGAATTGGAATTTGCAAGAAAAAAAATCAGAAGGCAAAATAGATAAACTGTAAACCTGTGAGATGCGGAGTTAGGATCGACACAACTGTTGTGTCCCTGAAGACACTGACTGCATCCATTAGAGTCCACGGTCTACAGCAGCAGTATGCCTCGGTGCATCGTGTTGCAACAGCTGCGTCGTCGTGCAGCCACTCCCTCCGACAAGTCATTGTTGCCTGTTGTGACAGAGCACCTACTGAACCGAAATTAGCATGAAATGCTCGACTGACGGAGAGCCGGTGCACGCAAAGCTCCGCGCCTCCAACGGCCCTCCGAGTGACCTTTTGACACGTCACACGCTTTCGCTTTTCTCCGTTAGCCAATCAATTTTGCGACAACAAGGCAAGTCGGTAGCGGCTTCATTACTGTCAGTGCTCAACATAATACCTCTGATGCTTAGTGTCACTTCCATGAGGATAACAGGAACACTTTAATTAGGGGACGCCATGGCAACAGTGAGCATGTTTAGGTTAGATACAATGAGGTGAAACAGACAGGTTCCAATTTAGTGAGACATCTCACGGTAACCCAGCAGTTACAGCTGCTGGTATGAAAAACAGTGGGGAGGTTTTCTCCACTTCAATTGTGTCCTTCCCTCAAAATAGAGAAAAACCTTCAATGTCTGAGCAGTATGAGGGGAGATACTTAAGAAAACTCACATATGATTGATTAAAACTCCATTAAAGGACAGTATCCATTCATTTTAAGGCCCTGCTTTAGTATTTCAGGCCATCAGGTTATGACAACATTGTATTTGTAGTGGCACTCTGTTCCATCGTCTGCTGTAGCACCGTTTGAAGTCAGTCTAGCAACAAGTATTTGAAACGCGAGTGAGACGAGAGAAAATAGAAAATATACAAAATCACACGGTCAAAAAACTGTCGCTTCCACCTAATGCTTCAATCTGATGAATTAAGCCTCATCAGCTGCTTTACAATGGCGCAGCGTTACCTGATTGGAAGCTCAAACTCAAATCAATTTTAAACGTAGCATGACTAAATTATGCATGTTATTAAATGCATTCTTCCAGAATCGTAATAAAGTTAGCAATCTTTAATATTACCACTTTACTTTCAACTGAAATATAACATATATAACATATAACAGTATTCACTAATGTAGCGTCAGAGAAGTAGTAACATCGCACTACTAAGAAGGAGCCTGAAGGTAAAGGAACACAAAGAGTCACGGGATCATCAGCCCTGATTCTGTCTCTTGAACATGTCAGTCATTCAGAAAAAATGCAGAAAGTGGTTGGATGGGAGGTGATCTTTAAAGTGACTCAGTGGGTGGGAAATGACAACGTCGGGAGGATGCAACACAACAAAAAGATTATTTGTCTCGATCAACCAACAGTTCTACCACTGAAGTCAGTACAAACAGTTTGAGAGATACCGTCGAATATCTTCCACAGTTCTGAACCCAAACCTCCACCCAGAGTCATAAAGAACTACCCTTAGTCACAAGAGGTCCTGCAACAGATGGTCTGTCCCACACAGAGCCCTGATCTCAACATCATGGAGTCAGTTTAGGATTATAAGACACTGAGACAGCCTAAACCCACACAAGAACTCTGGCAGGTTCTCCTGAACCTCCTACCTGCCAAATAACTTGAAAAACCGTACATACGTGTACTGAGGTGAACTGATTTTAAAGGCAAAGGTTTGATATGAGTTTTTCTTTTTTTTGTCTTTCTGCACTTTGTATGATGTTAACTGACAAATAAATTATTCATTGCATTATGTTTAAAATCCTTTTAGTGCGGTAAATGTCTGCACAGTGCTGTATATTACAGCAATATCGCTGAATAAAAGATTTAAAAAGTACTGAGGTCATGAGTCTGAACTCCTGCAGTAAAAACCCAGTGCAGTATTTCTAAGAATTACAGAGAGAAATAGCGGCGAGTTACAGGCAGAAAGAAAGAGAAAGAAAGCTGAGTAGAAGGACATGCAGCACACCTGATCAGAGTTTGTCTCTATATATTGTACTACATATTGTACAGAGACCTGTCAGGGTCTGGAGGAAGAGTGCTTTTTCATCCTGTAGATTGAATCGTCACTCACATGAGAGAACTAACTCCCCTCAAATTGTATTTTATGTGCATCAAATTTTAATTTACTGGTCACTTATTTTGACACGTTGTTGGATTGTCATCGAGCGAAGACGGTTTTTTTTTTTGGCTTGACAGCTGTCCTCTCCAGGCTGATGAGTTACAGAGTTGATTTGAAATCCAGCACTGGTGCTTTTAACTGATGACTCTTCTTGAAGTATGATTCTCCATCAGAAGCGTCCGCGGCTCACTGGTTGTGCAGCGGCAGGGAAATTGCTCGCACTGCGGTGGCAGCCCTCCTCATTCTTTATCAATACTCCGGTGGGCGCATTGTCTGTGAGACACTTTAACTATGGAATATTCATCAGCTGAATTAAATGGGGCAAGTACATAAAACCACTGAGGTTTGGAGAAGTTGCGTAGTCCAGGAGCACATCTTTGAAAAGTTGTTCTTGTGTGCTTGTAAATTTGGTCATCACACACACACACATGTATAATTATACTGTATTAGAATGTATCTGTACTGTGGGTGTGTGTGTGCAAACTGTGTACATTGTTTATTATGTTAATACAGAAACATATG